GAAGAATTGATGCTTTTGAACTGTGGTGTTGGAGAAGACTCTTGAGAGTCCCTTGGACTGCAAGGAGATCCAACCCGTCCATCCTAAAGCAGATCAGTCCTGGGTGTTCATTGGAAGGACTGATGCCAAAGCTGAAACTCCCATACTTTAGCCACCTGATGCAAAGAACTGACTCACTGGAAAAGACCCTGATGCTGGGAAAGGTTCAAGGTGGGAGAAGAAGCGGACAGCGAAGGATGAGATGGCTGGATGGCATCACCCACTCAGTGGACATGAGTTTGAGTAAACTCTGGGAGTTGGTGATGGACAGGGAGGCCTGGCATGCTGCAGTCCATGGGGTCACAAGAGTCAGACACAACTGAGCGACTGAACTGAACTGATAATATTTAAGCAAATTAGTAATTATAAAATCTTATCAATAAAAAAAATTATATGTAGAAATTAATTTGATGTAAAAAATTTCCTCTAAAATCCTTCTCAAAAATATTTTTCTTTCTTTTTTTTGCATGAAGAATTCAAATTTAAAATGTGGACCTCAGGTAGAAGGGTTATCATGATGGTTAGACTGTGTCATTGAAACTATGTCCCTGCTGCCATCTTGTGGCAGTCTGACCTTAATGACGTATTTCAGTTAAACTCTGTCTGCATACAGAAAGGAGAGAAAAAGAGATTATGATGGTTAAAAAAATGTCAGAGAAGCAAAATTCCTGAATAAGAAACTGGAAAGTTAAGTTGACAAACCTAAGATTATATAAAGGAATGAGTGCCATTGAACTGTCATTTAAAGATGATGAATAAAGTTATTCTTATATCTCGTGAAGTAAACACGGAGAAATGTAAAATCATAGGTTTAACCTTCAAATTTACAGCCTCTTATTTTCTATTCAAAGGTGAAGACCGTTAATGAAAAGCTCACAATTGGAAAGATTTCCAAGTACTGGTCAGGCTTTGTGAACGATGTTTTCACCAACGCCGACAACTTTGGGATCCACGTTCCTGCAGATCTCGATGTGACAGTCAAAGCAGCCATGATCGGTGCTTGCTTTCTTTTTGTAAGTGTGGTTTTAAAGACTGAAGTGGCTCGTTTCTTTCCTTTTCACTTGCCAACTATTATAGAACCATCCTGCTTTTCATAGTTTTTACGCCACAGAGCCAGTTTTATACACGGAAGGCTGGTTTGTGGCCAACGGTGTTTAGAAGCCAGGCTGTGACAGCCTGTGTTTATGTTACATAGGCTTCGAAGGCTGGTTTGTGGCCAACAGTGTTTAGAAGTCAGGCTGTGACAGCCTGCTTCCTCCGGTGGCCCTCAAACCCCCTCTTCTCAAGGATGGATTCCCAATCTACATCCTACTCATCATTTCTCAGTATTTGAGGTAGTCTTCTCTTTCGACTCAATGCTTGTCTTGTTTTCACTTCCAGTGAAAAATATGTAAACAGAAATAATCACATTATTTGTCCTGGGTAAGGTTCAGGGCTGTTTAATTGCTTACCGAGGAGTCAGGTTGTTTTTCAAATTTTGAAAGTTCCGTTTTTCTTGCCCTTCCAATAAGTACACTCATGTTTACATGAGTAAACAGAGATGAGTTAATATGTAGCAGTTTTTATTATTACAAAGATATGATGTCTTTGTCTTTTCTTCTCAATTTAACAATTTCATCAAAAACATTTTCTTCTGATTGGTGATGACAGAATAGAAGTCAAGTAATACTTGTGCCAAACCCTGACCTGATTTTCCCTGTTCCCCACTTTCCTTCTAATTTTTCCCTCATTGCTTACCTTTCTCAGCTTTTGCACTCACAAAAGTTCATGAAATTTTAAAGTAAACCTTCATTCTTCCTCTCATGTTATTCAAGGCTTTAGGATCCTAAATCTTATGGTTATGTTAATATGTGCTACTGTGGGGAAAAAATGTGGTCCTATTTACTTAGGCTCTTCTAGAGACACTTGAGAGTTATATTAACTAAAAATAATTCTTGGTGATGGCACTCATAGATACTTAGAGTTTAATTAAAAATAAATATAGTAGCATTTTTTCTGACAGCAGCTTTAGAGAAATTATTTTAACTTATTGATTCCCTATCATGGTTAGAGGTAGAATTAATATCGATACACAGAATGCTAAGCTTTTATACTAAGTTGTTTCTTACTCTTAATTTCTATTTTCGTCTATAAATGTAATCAAGTCCAGTCAATCTTTCCTGTCACCACATACTTTTTCATTTTTCCATTCTCCTTATCTGTTTAACAAGGCTCTTAATTTGTCAGTTCCTACTCCCTTCTGTCTTCTGGCCATTCTGCATTTGACACCAAACATATGCAATAGACAGCCCCCCGCCCTTTTCCCAAACCTGAATTTGGCCTTCCGGTTAGTCCCCTTATTTGCCGTTTATGTAACAATAGATTACCTTTCATCTGCTCAGCTGCTGCTCCTATTTAGGTGCTAAATTACGTCCAACTCTGCTGCATCTACATGGGCTGCAGCCCACCAGGCTCCTCTGTCCGTGGGGTTTCCCAGGCAAGAATACTGGAGTGGGTTGGCATTTTCTTCTCCAGGGGATCTTCCTGACCAAGGAATCAAACGTGTATCTCCTGCTTGGCAGGTGGGTTCTTTACCACACTGAGCCACCAGGGAAGCCTTTAATCTACCCTACATATGTATTTTATGTATTAAGAACAAGCTGATGTCAAAAATGTCAACAATTCCCTATGACTATAGCACTGATCAAAGTAACACCCCAATTATCTGAAAAGATAACTTTTTCACTCCAGGGTCTGAGAGATAAACATACTCACTGAGACTATCAGACAGTGATCCATCCATTGCTTTTCCTTTTTACCATAATTTTACCGTAATATTATAAAATATTTGCACTTTGCTCTTGGCCAATATTGAAGAAGGAAATGTCAGCCCACTCCAGTATTCTTGCCTGAATTCCATGGACAAAGGAGCCTGTCAGGCTACAGTCCACGGGGTCACAAAGAGTCAGACATAACTGAGTAACTATCACTCACCCTTGGCCTTTAGCTTTTAAAACAATTTGTCACCAAGAATTATGCTTTTAATTTGTAAATGCTGTCTCCATTTTATTACCTGTGCTCAGAAATCTTTAGCAAGTTGCAGGTGGGAGGATATTCCCTAATCCAAACAGCAAAATTCACAAGTATTCACAAGTGATTTGGTCTTTTGTTTGAGACTACCACTGCATGATCCGCCAAGTTCCCTCTGGTACAGTTTTCAGTACTTTCTCAGATGAACGTTGGAGTACCAACCACATGGTCCATGATGACGTGTCTTACTCTTGTTTAAAGGTCCGTGTCTATTACAGCTTCTCATGCTGACCCAGACTATCCAAAAATCTAATTCTAAAAAGTCTTAATCACCCCAAATTTTGCCTGGTGACATCATGCTGATTCAGATAATGTTTCCAAGTTACTTAAACTCTGCTAATTAGACATGTGAGTGTCATGAAGCTTAAAACTTTAATTTTTCTCCTCCTGATAAATCACATGCTCCTGGAACACCACTGGGAAACATAATTGCCTTATATAATCAAAGCTTCCATGTAAGACTCTTGATCTTAATTGTTGGTTTTTTGTCAGTTCACTCATATTCCATTTATTTATTTGTAGGATTTTATGTTCTTTGAACATTCACTGGCTGGATTATAACAAGCAAGATGACAAAAGCAATAAAATATGCAGAATGTATTTCAGTAAGTAAAAGGCAAGTTTAAATGATCTCTTTCCCTTTGAAGAGGTCTATATTTGACGCTGTCTAATTCTTTTTCATTTTCTTCTAGAAATCCCCTGGGCTCTGGATTTCATTTCTGAATGGTTTGACTATTGGCTTTTTCGTTTTTTTTGTAACAAAATGTTAATTACTATATTTATTAAAGCATAATGTAATGAAGCAATTATCTGCTTGTGAATGCATGATAACTAAAGACAAGATGACTGACCCTAGACAGTGGTGCTTTGAGAGATTACCATTCTTTCTTTTTATCCTTTTGAAGTTATTGCATGGTAAGCATGAAAGATGAGAGCTAAGGCTTGCAGCATCACTGATGAAAATTCAATGTTTAGAGAGAGCTTTGAAGTATTTCTGGTAGTAGGGCTGGCTACTAATCAAAAGGACTGGATTTCTAAAGTATTTTTTCATAAGCGGTCTTTTCTGCTTTGTTTATTAATCTTGTAGTAGTGAGACATTTTTACATTATACTGAAAAAGCTAAAAGTTGGGTAAATAATAGGTTTAAAGATGAGACAGCAGATGAAATCAATTTGTTCTAGTGGCAAAAGGCACAGTTATATTCCATAAAAAAGGTAATATTTACAAATCAAAGTATGCTTTACATACATGCACGTGCTAGGGATTTAAATAAGCATATTAATAAGCTTCTAAGCTAGTAAAAGCAGTGGTACAGAGCAGGAACTTTATCTATTTGCAGTAAAAGCTCAGTCAAAAAAAGGAATCTAAGGCTCTGAAAAATAAATAGCCCCAGGCCTTAAGAACAAGCAAACAAAAACTAACAAAGCCTTAATACATGAGGCAAATACAGAAGTCAGGAAGCACATCCAGTTCAATTAATACCTTCCATTTTGATGTTTTCAGAGTCTTCCAGACTTCTAGTATAGTTGTCCATACATTTCCAAAGCCCATAAAAAAGGGAAAAATTCTTTTTATGAATGTGACAGTCCTTCTCCCTTTCTCAAAATGAGGAACAATTTTGTTCTAAGCAAAACATCATGTAAACTCTACTTTCAGTTCAGTTCAGTTGCTTAGTCAGGTCTGACTCTTTGCGACCCCATGAATTGCAGCACACCAGGCCTCCCTGTCCATCAACAATTCCCAGAGTTTACCCAAACCCATGTCCAGTGAGTCGGTGATGCCATCCAACCATCTCATCCTCTGTCATCCCCTTCTCCTCCTGCCCCCAATCCCTCCCAGCATCAGGGTCTTTTCCAATGGGTCAATTTTTCACATTAGGTGGCCAAAGTATTGGAGCTTCAGCTTCAGCATCAGTCCTTCCAAAGAATAATCAGGGCTGATTGCCTTTAGGATTGACTGATTTGATCTCCTTGCAGTCCAAAGGACTCTGAAGAGTCTTCTCCAGCGCTACAGTTAGAAAACACCAATTCTTCGGTGCTCAGCCTTTTTATGGTACAACTCTCACATCTGTACATGACTACTGGAAAAGTCGTATCTTTGACTATGTGGACCTTTGTCAGCAATATGATGTCTCTGCTTTTCAACATGCTGTCTAGGTTTGTCATANGATCCAGTGGATTTTGGCAGTTTGATCTCTGGTTCCTCTGCCTTGTCTAAAACCAGCTTGAACATCTGGAAGTTCATGTTTTGCTGAAGCCTGGCTTGGAGAATTTTGAGCATTACTTTGCTAGTGTGTGAGATGAGCGCAATGCTGCAGTAGTTTGAGCATTCTTTGGCATTGCCTTTCTCTGGGATTGGAATGAAAACTGACCTGTTCCAGTCCTGTGGCCACTGCTGAGTTCTCCAAATTTGCTGGCATATTGAGTGCAGCACTTTCACCTTGTCATCTTTCAGGATTTGAAATTGCTCAACTGGAATTCCATCACCTCCACTAGCTTTGTTCGCAGTGATGCTTCCTAAGACCCACTTGACTTCACATTCCAGGATGTCTGGCTCTAGGTGAGTGATCACATCATCGTGATTATCTGGGTCATGAAGATCTTTTTGTACAGTTCTTCTGTGTATTCTTGCCACCTCTTCTTAATATCTTCTGCTTCTGGTAGGTCCCTACAATTTTTGTCGTTTATTAGAATTACAGAAGTATGATCCAAATTTCTATCTACATATAAAGGTGTTTAGGGAACCTCTAGATAACACTCCACTTAGTAAGGAGAATGTGTTCTAAGCCTCTGTTACTATGTTAGTTGTTTGGAATCTGTCATCTAGAAATAACCTTGTATATGGTAGTTAAGTTCCCTAAATAGCCCACACGTGATCTCTTTAGTTCTGGGTTCCGGATTAGGAGCTTTAGGTTGTACAGGATGGAAAGAAAGAGCCTCTCCCGTTCTCTGGATCAGTTTCCTTTAGCGTTTCCATCCTTATTGTTGCTGTTCGGTCGCTCGGTCCTGTCCAACGCTGTGACCGCGTGCTGCTTTGCACCTTTCCTGCGTCTCCGTCCTGAACCCAGAGGGCACACAGGAGCTGTGTGCTTGCCTCAAGCATCAGTGACCAGCTTGTGAGGAAGAAGAATCTTTCCTGAGTCTCCATCCTGAGCCCAGAGGGCACACAGGAGCTGTGTACTGGCCTCAAGCAAGCATCAGTGACCAGCTTGTGAGGAAGAAGAACCTTTCCTGCGTCTCCGTCCTGAGCCCAGAGGGCACACAGGAGCTGTGTACTGGCCTCAAGCAAGCATCAGTGACCAGCTTGTGAGGAAGAAGAACCTTTCCTGAGTCTCCGTCCTGAGCCCAGAGGGCACACAGGAGCTGTGTACTTGCTCAAGCAAGCATCAGTGACCAGCTTGTGAGGAAGAAGAACCTTTCCTGCGTCTCCGTCCTGAGCCCAGAGGGCACACAGGAGCTGTGTACTGGCCTCAAGCAAGCATCAGTGACCAGCTTGTGAGGAAGAAGAATTTTATCAGTAACCAGCAAAGAGTCAGCGCGCTTCAGATCACACGCAGCCTCCTCCAGTCCTCTCCCTCACCCCTTCGGCGGGACGGGCGTGGCCTTCATGCCGGGACCGTGTGGCCACGGTCAGGCGGGGACAGCAGCCCTGAGAGCCGCGACGGACGTCAGCCGAGCACAGCCCTGCCGCGTGCCGGCCACAGCTGTGCGCTTGGCGTGCGTCCTTCTGAACCCCTCGCATTCCCCGCTGCGGCCTTGCAGAGCTCTGGTGACGGTGGAGAAGCACCGCGTTTTCTCCCATTATCCTTTACCTATTTTAACTAATAGCTTTCCCTGGTGGCTCAGTGGTAAAGAATCGGCCTGCCAAGGGGGAGACGTGGGTTTGATCCTTGGGTCAGGAGGATCCCCTGGAGGGGGAAATGGGATCCACTCCCTTCCCCAGCTTGCACCAGTGGTAAAGACCCACCTGCTAATGCGGGAGACATAAGAGACAGGCTTTGATCTCTGGGTCGGGAAGGTCCCCTGGAGGAGGGCGTGGCAACCCACCCCAATATTCTTGCTTGGAGAATCCACTGGACAGAGGAGCCTGATAGGCTACAGTCCAAGGGGCTGCAAAAAGATTTGGACACAATTTAGTGAGTAAACAACAACAATGGAAATGGCAGCTTTTAAGCTGATGCTTAGTAACCAATAAAATGGAGAAGATGGCCACCGTTTTCTGTGGGTTTATTCATGCCAGACACTATGCTTGCTCTGAATTACTGCTGGGGTCGGTAACAAAACAAAGTAAAATCAGGCAGTATGTGGAAGACTGCCTGTGAACCCACCTTCCCTGCTCTCTACCCTGCCCTCCCTGCCGCAAAGGTTCTCCGGAAAGATGATCATGCTTTCATAGCTTCTTCTTGTCCTTTACTCTGATTTCCAAAGTGAAAAGAAATTTGTAACTGATGTCACCACAGTAGTGGTTGAGACTTTCACAGGAGAGAAAGAAGAATGGAAAAAAGAAAACACAGTCTGTAAGTACTGCCTTTTAAAATAAAAAAATGTTTTAGTTTTCTTTTTTCAAAAAATATGTAAATGAATCCTAAAACTAGTGAAAAGAGACACAATACCTACATCTAAGGGAGACTCCCCAATGACAAAAAAGCTGACCCTATTAAGTAAAAACCTGCTATAGTATTTACTTGAATTTGGTGTACTCCAACAAATTAGGACTCATCCTTTCTCTCCTTCATTAAACTTTAAAGATGAAATTGATCTTTAAGTGTCTTCTATGTACCACATTTCCCTTTACCACCAAACTTCAGTCCATGAAAGACCAAGGAGACTCTCCCTTTGCTGTGAAAATTTAAATGAAAAGAATGCAGCTCTAAAATGAGGTTTTTCCTTTGTACATCACTGCCTTTCATTGGCCCATTAAGCTTCAGAACATGGGTTCCAACTCTGTTTACTCTGAATATAATTGGAAAGTCTTGATCAAGTTCAAGTGCCTCCCATTCACTGATTCACTCATTCACTGATGTGTCTGTTCTTTCTTTCATTAATTTAATAAAGGCTTATTTACTCCCTCCTATATGCCAAAAATAGAGTCCCCCTCTTAGGAAGATTACAGTTTAAAGAGATGGCTATTAATCCAATAATGACACAAACAAAACTTAGATTTCCAACATGAGAAGAGTTCACAGGAGACAGACAAGGTTCTAAGTAATGTAGGGGTATATGACTTGGTCAGGGAATGATGGTGGATTTAATATGTGAAGGGTAAGTCAGAACAAGAGGAAGAATGTTGCAAAAATTGCAAAAGTTCTCTTATGGAGGAGGTGGAGGACATGACAATCTCAAGTGACTTGAAAAAGGCCAATGACTAAAGTTCAGACAATGAAGAGAAAGGTGGTACAAGAAGAGAACAAGCGGGGTCTGGAGGATATGTTGAAAATTTCAGACTGTGTCCTATCAGCAAAGCAACTGATGAGGGTTTATAAGGAGAGTGTAGAGTGATGAAAGATTAGATTGGTGAGAGGCCTGGAGAAGACACTCGTGGACCAATCAGTGTCACTAAAGTAGTTCAGATGACAGCTAACGGTAGCTTGGCTTGATGTGGCACTACTGTAAAGGGGGAGAAGTCAGCAGGTTCAGGGTATATTTGGGAAGCAAAACCACCCTTACTTGATACTGGGTTGAAAAACAGAGGTTCAGGGCAGAGCGGGGGATTTCTGGCCTATAGTAACAGAGGGAACGTTAGAAGAGAAGTTGGTTTGGTGACAGAAAAAGTACACGGGTTCAGTTTTAAGCACATTAAACCTGT